TCTTTAAAAGTGGGAATTAACTAGGTAGGTAGTAAAAATGTTTAAATTAAAAAAAAAGTTAATTGTTTTAAAATTAACTTAAATTCAGAATGTAACCAGTTAAATTTATTATTTATTAACTATCAACTTTTGACTTAGAACAATCTTGTTTTCACTTAACTTAGGTTATCTTGGGTTAATTATATTCATTAACATGCCCAAAATTGTAAATCTTAGTGTTAACTCCACCATTGACGGTCCTCAGTCCGTATGAAAAAGGAGGAAGGGCGCTTTAAAGACATTTTTCTTTTTTAATTGAAGTATTAAAAATTAATCATGCCTCTCTTGGTTTTAAAGTAATGTATTATTCTTTTAAATGGTTTTTAAATCTTAATATTATTTTCTATATTGGGTTTTTTTTTTATTTTGTAGGATATACCATACTGCCATTGTCCAACTGTGAAGAAGTAGGTAGCCAATTTTAATAGTGCAGATCTTCGAAGACCAGGATGTGTAGATGTGTATTGGAAAATGGCAAAATATACATAGTTCAGACTTCAGAAATTTAGTTAGAGATGATTTATGGAAATTGGATTCATTAATCTTTGGACATTCAAAGTAACTTTATGATAAACATTAGTAAAACCCTATTAAATGCAATTTTTTAATTTTGTAGACTATACCATACTACCATTGTCCGACTGTGAAGAAGTAAGGTAGCCAATTTTAGTAGTGCAGATCTTCGAAGACCAGGATGTGTAGATGTGAATTGGAAAGTGGCAACATATACCTAGTTCAGACTTCAGAAATTTAGTTAGACATGACTTATGAAAATTGAATTCATTAAGTTTTGGTCATTCAAAGTAGCTTTATGATAAACATTAGTGAAACACTGAAACCCTATAAATGTATTATCTATCTAATAATTGTATTAAATATAATTAAATAAGATTTTATATTTAACTTATGATTAATACAGCAAATAACTAAATTACTAATTGGTACAATTTGAATATTCCAATTCAAAATTGTTCAAAGAACTTTGTATTTACATTTTTCTAAAACAAATAATAATTTGATAATAATAATAATAATAATGACACAGTTTAACACTTAAACCATAATAAGGATCAGTGGTGTTCCACAGATTCTGAATTTTTTTTAAACTTATTCATTACTTTTATAATTTTTAATGACAAATATGTATGTAAACTATTTTATGCTATTTATTAATAATACATAAGTATATAGTTTAATATGTTATTACCAGGGCTCGTAACTTCATGCACTAAAAAATGCATAAATAAGCATGCATTCATGCACTAAAAATTGTCAAAATATGCACTTAAAAGTTCGAAAATATGCATTTATATACCTTCACATTATGAACTCAAAATATGCATTATGTAAAAAAACATGACCAAATTTTAAAATAATAAGAATAAATCCATATATTTTAAAAGTATTTTATTCCTTTATATTTTTATATATTTAACAGTCAAAATTAATAAAATAAAAAATAAAATTAATACTTGTGAAGTTCAAATAGCTTTGACCTATATAAATTTTAATTAGGTAGTCATTTTTGTCTAATTTGTGTACACCCTTATTCAGCACCAACAATGAAAACATTTGGAATTAAATATTAGGTTTTTCATTTTGAGATAATTTAGTAATATATATTTTATAAGTGTATTTTTTATGTTTTCCAACTTAAGAGGGCGCACTAGTAGACAAAATATTGCATAAAACCATGGTTTCGTAATTCAAGTAATACGGCTTATTAAAGTAGTTTACAGTAAAAATACCTATTATAAAAATTGTAGAGTAGAACTTTTTTTACAATCTTAAGAAGCCCGATTTTCGATATTTTTATTAATTAGCTACATAATTAATCAATAAAAAATTTAAAAAACCGTTATAATTTACCATGCGATATTGGACGATTGGAACAAGATATCAAAAATTGGAAGAAACTTTTCAAATATTTGTCTAAAAAATATTTTTATGAAATAATATGCACTAATGACTGTAAAAAATCGACTATATGCCAAATATGACTTTACACCCAAAACATGCAAAAACATGCACTATCAAACTTCATATTATTATTACTATTGTTATGAAACGGATTTGTATCACAGTTAGCATGTTTTCCTGTGTAGCAAAAAAAACATGCAGATGCATGAACTTACTAGCCCTGGTTATTACTTTTTGTCTTACCAGTTACTATGTTAAGACTCATAAATCATAATCGACACAATCTAAATACCACATTACCACTGCCTAATAAATATACTAAGTAAAGTAGTACACAATATGATTGGAAATTTATGTCATTATATTATATTCAGTTGCAAGGCCATATCCAGAAATTTTTTCGGAGGTGGGTCCAAAACATGTATATTGTAATTTTATTGAATTTATAATTTTGTTTTGATATTTGGCTAAAAATAAGATATGTTGAAAACATTTCGGGGGGGGGGGGGGGGGTTAACTACCCAATTTTTTTATTTCCATTATTATATTTAGAAGCAAATTTTTGAAAAAAAAATAATACTGCTTACTTATAAGCATTCATGAGATACAAACTGTTTTATTTTTAAGCAAATTTAGTTTATCATACTATAATTATAGTTATCACCATACAGTTATTAAATTAATTATACATTTCAGTTACCTACTACCATACTCAAATAAAATTATAGTTATAATAATAGGTTAATAGGTACCATATAAACAAATTTTCATTTTTTAAGAACATAATTAAATTATTTATTTGTATATATAATTAGGTATCTACCTACCTACCTACATAACATATTAATATATATATATATATTTTTTTAATTCCTCCAATAAGAACTTAGAATGAGGGAAGAATGGAGAGTGCAAATAATAATTACAATAATAAACACTTTTAACAGTTTAATGAGATTTTGCGTTTGGTACACAATCAGTTACATATTTAAATAAATTTCTTGGTTTCTTTTTTTTGGTTATTGTGTTCTGTTGAATCAGGTCGACCTATAATATTTTATAATTTTATGAAATTAGTAAATCATTAAACAATAAGTATGTTGTAATTAAATAAGAAGATACCTGATTACTTATAAATCAATTGCGTACTTATACATTGTCAATCAGAACTATTTTTTTCTAATCTTCTTTTAAATTTTAATACATTTTCATAAGATGAACCACCTAACTTTGTAATGTTATTTACCATTTACCATTATGCTTTATATATCTTTCAAAATTAAAAATGATTTTTTTTTATCCGTATACACTATTGTTTTATTAGTTTTCATATTATTTTCATCACTAACTTTTTTATTATTTTCCATTATCCTATTAGGTTCAATACCTAGGTAACCAAAAAATCTAAAAAAATATATTAGGTAACAGTTATTTTTTACAGACATTTTAAATTCAAATTCGGACGAAAATTTAACAAATTATCAAAAATTATCAATTATTGTAATTAAAAAATTATAAAAATTTCAATTTTTATAACTAAAGATTGAAAAGTTAGAATAAGGTTATATATGAATTACTTAATTCACAAAAATGTCATCCAATGTACTTAGTATTATCATAGACTGACTGAACTGTCTTAACTCATAATTATTTTTCTTATTGAATGATATTATATTATTAAATTCAAATTTAACTCCATCCACTAAAGTGACCCACTTGTAACCTACTGTACAGCAGAGATACACCCACTTGCCTACCTTTTTAAAAATTCAGTTTGGCAGAATTTTGACTAAATTAAGTTGACTGAATAAGTATCATTACTTAATGTTACTGTCATAGTCAAATACAAATTAAACAAAGTTTTGGATATACCTAAGCATTTCTTTCATAGACGTAATATGACAGTTTATAGTACCTCTTTCTAACATTTTTTTAAAGATTTAAAAAATATTTGTTTGCTACTTTGGGTAGTATTTTTTAAACATACATATTTTCATGTAATATATTGTATTAAATAATGAAATATATTAATTAAATTATTATATACATTAAGGTACCTAATTAATAATGAATTAAAATATTAATGAGGTTTTCAAAAATATATAAAGTATCAAATATGATACCTAACTTTTTTTTTAAGTTATCAAAAAATAATTGTTTACATATCTATTTTTAGCAACTCAGTGAGGTATTTTGTAGAAACCTTACTGTTGTTATAAAAAAAAAATAGTATCTATTGCCTCGTTTACATTCAGCCCATTTTCGTGGAAGTGAGCAGGGAAGTGGGTATGGAAGTGGGCAGCACGAGTAAGTAAACAGGTCACTCGCGCTGATCATGCTCCTCGCATTGTCGCATTGTCGCTGCCGTCAAGAGCGGTAAATTGAGCAGTGCGAGCAGCAGGTTAACCGGCGAGCGCTGCCGGTTGGGTTGCTGCTAGAGCTGCACAATGTAAACACACTCACTGCCACGACGTTGCAACAGAAGTATTTTGGGAATTAAATACGGCCGCGGCAGTGCGATAAGCAGCGGCGGTGGCTGAATGTAAATCGGGTATAATGTGTCATGTACTCATGTGTGATAATAATTAAATTGGTATGGTAACATGGTGTATTTTCTTCATTATCTATGTAGTATAGGGTGACCATAAAAATAAAATAAAAATACGGGACACTTTAGTTACTTAACTAAAAAAAAAAAGGAAATTCTAATTTTAACTAAATATATTAATATAAAATAAAAACAAATTAAATGTATGCTGTATAATAGTTTTTAAATACAAATAAAATATTAATTAGTATAATATTATGTACACTAAAGTCCAAAAAAAAATTATTTTGATGACGATGGCACGTAAATTTCTTCTTTTGATGTTTTTGTATACTTTTGTGCTGAACCGATTTCATCAAGTAACCTAGTTTTTTTTAATAGAATATTATAAAACTCATTACAAGATAAGTTTTTAAAGTGTGTTTTTACGATTATAATTGATTTGATAGTCTCAACCAAAAATCGATTTTTTTCATCTGTCCACAACAAATTAATGGTTGAAAAAATCCGTTCTACTGCAGCATTTGTACCAGGAATTGCCAAAGAATATTCTACTATTTTTGATATGTTAGTTGTATCAATGTTATGACTTATGAGCTTTATCTAGTGTATTCAAATATTTCACACCACTTAACTTCTACTTTAGCGGATTTTTTTTGCCATTCATGAATTCGTGATTTAAAAATTTGTTCTATATGACTGAATTCATCAAATAAATTATCTTCATCTAATTTTATGTTAGAATTATTTCGGTTGTTTTCCATAAGAAATTTAATACATTTTTGAACATTTTCCCAAGTAGGACAGTTTATTAGTTGGACCCAGCGAAATATTTTCAACTGGTCAAAGTGGCAACCCCATGTTTCTACGTAAGATAAAAAAGTATTTTAAAATAGATCAGTACTTTTTTTGAATGAGTTTTCATTATACATAGGTATTATTGTTTTTTAAATCATTTAAAAGCGATAAAATATTTGTTGCAAGGAAGTTTAGAATAGACATTATATTTGACAACAAACTTGTGGCGGATGGAATTGTACTTATTTAGTAGATGACGTCACACATCAATATAATAATATTAATAACATTTTGTACGTTATCGTTATATCATTAGTATTTATAATCGTCGGTTTAACGTTGTCGATAATGATGTGACATTATTAGTTCTCTATTTTCAACCCGCAGCAATTATAATAATTTATTGTTAAGACAAGAATCTAAAAATAATGCTGATAAGTATAGATTAGATGTTCTATTGAATATTGTGATACAAAAATATCGTAGAATAAAAAAAAAAAAAATTATAAAATTATAAATTAACAATAAAGAGAAAAACGGGATTAATACGGGACCTACTTGAAAATACGGGACAAAATGCGTCCCGTATAACTTTTGTCGGGACAACGGGACACAAAGTGGAAAAACGGGACAATCCCGTATAATACGGGACGTATGGTCACCCTAATGTAGTATGTACATTGTACATACAGTGTATTGTGTAATTGTGTGTTTCATAAATTAATTTCAAAATTAATCTTTCTATTAATTCTGATGATATGCCTTCCTCTTTTAAAAATCCTATTGTAAAAAATGGCTCGATAACTATGTTCGGTCGAATTTAAATAATATACACGATATTGGAAAGTGGGTACCTAGGTATAAGAATTTTCTACAAAAACGAATACTAGGTGGAATGTACGAACAACAGTTCCTAAAGGAACATATATTCAATGCAAGTAAGTAAGCTACCTAGCAAATATTATGTAAATATATAATAATATATATTATAATATATTATATTTATGAATCAGAAATGTAATCTAAATGTTTTGTTATACTACTTTACAGAAAAAATTATGTTTGCCACCATAGTTCTCACCATAAAGTTGACAGAACGTTAAACAAAAGAGGTCAATCAAAAAATACTAACTGTCAAGCATCTATTAAAATTTTAGTAAAAATAGACACTGTATCTACTAGAAAAAGTGACTCTTTTGTGAAGGTGGGTAAAATATTAGCAATTACATTTTAGTTGTAGGTATGAAAATATTATCTAATGCTGAATTTAAAAATAATTATATAATCAACTAAAAAACATGAAATTAGGTACTATTTATTTATCTGAATAGTAGTACTGCACATCACACAATCTTTAAATTTACTGAAAAATTTAAACTTTAAATTATATAGGTACCCACTAATAACTACATTTAATATTTCATGTTTATAGAATAAATACTTAGGCATGATTACTATCGCAAATACTCATAATCATAATATTAATACTGCTGAAGCATTACGGTATTTGAATCCAGATGTTAATTTAAGAAGTACATTTGAAGATTATTTTTATGATGGGATGACAATATCAGATGCATTACGGTAAATATATATTCATAAGAACAATATGACAGATTTAAAGTAGAATTTATGTTGATTTGTTTCAATAGATATTGTCATTTGATGTAAATAAAACATAATTTGATTGTACAGTATTTATAATAAAATTGATTAGGCATGGTTTGAATTATACAATTTGTCCATTTCTAATGTTAACATCAATTAAAATTGACCACTTATTCAGTTAGTATTTCTAATAAAAGTTATTATTATTTTATTTAAATGTATTCTATAAACCTGTGTATACACAAAAATTAATTGTATTATTTTATAATTAATAGATACCATGAGAGTATTTTAACAATGGCAAATAAACCAATTGAATATTTTGCGAATGGTAGAATTAACCCAACATATAGATGTGTGCAAAACTGGCATGACCAGTGGAGATTACTAAACCTAGGACCTCGTACTTGTCAAGGAGTAATTATGGTAATAAAATATATATTATATTATATTTACATGATGAATATATTCTATAAATGTATTATTACTATTTATACTGTTTACTATAGAACCATTTTTACTACAAATTATTAACAGTTTTAATTTTGCAACTTATTACACTACATCAGAATTGTAAATTGTAATCCAAATCCACTAGACTCTTATATTTTCATAAGTATATTACAGATTTTACTTCACAGGTATTTTCTTTTTCCAACTTTTCTAGTAATGTTAGTATTAAATTATGCATAATATATTTTTAGTTACTAAATTGTATAGGTGTACCTATATTGAAAATCAAAAATGTTCAACAATTCATTTTCATTTGGGCATTTGGTATTTATAAGTGGAAATACAATAATTAGCATATTACTTAACATTCCAGATAAATTACAGATGATTAATAAGTGTTCCGTTTTATTGTGCAATAAATATTGCGTATACTTTATTATACATTATTTTCTATAGTTAATATCTTTGATGCTAGTAGGTAATTAATTCAAATTTTGCATTACATTCTTTACAGCCTATTACTTAAAATTGTATTTATTTTTATTTATTTATTTATTTTAGAAACTAGAAGAAAAAAAAGAAACTTATGCTACAAATGGGATTTCAATTTACTTCCAAGAGGAACCATTTGTTATTCTTATATTAACTCCAATTATGAAACGAGCACATGATTTACCATTATCCAAAGATATTGTATTTGTGGACTCAACTAGTTCTTGTGACCCTGAAAACCATTGCATTACATTTTTACTTACTCCATGTGCTGCTGGTGCAGCTCCTTTAGGTGTAATTTTATCCAAAGGCCAAAGCGAAGCATCCTATTCAAGTGGATTTAATTTAATAAAGCAAAATGTAAAAAATGCATTTGGTGGTCAAGGTTTCCCATCTTTATTTTTGACAGATAACTCAGATGCCGAAATCAATGCACTGAAAACTGTGTGGCCACAGTCGAGATCGCTACTTTGAATTTTTCATGTACTACAAACAGTTTGGAGATGGCTCTGGGATGGTAAAAATAATATTAAAAAAGAAGATCGCACTTCTATGATGCATAGTTTTAGGAAAATATTAATATTATATGCACAGACTTCTGAAGAGGCACAAGAAAAATATGTTGAAACTATGAATATAAAAAGTAACTATCCTATGTGGCAAAAATATATCACAGTTCATCACTGGAAATGCAAAGAAAAGTGGTGTTTAGCTTGGAGGGATCATACTAATAGAGGCCATCAGACCAACAACTTTAGCAAAGTATCAGTGAGAATTTTTAAGGAAAATGTATTAGGTTGTGTGAAAGCATACAATGTAATTTCATTGATTGACTTTTGCTGTACAAAATTGGTGGAATACTATAAAAATTTTTTTTTAGAATTTTCAAATGAAAGAAATTCTACTGCTCAACTGTTTTTTAAAAATTTAATTAAAAAAACTGATTATATCACCAAAGAAGAGATTACTGTAGACAATGAAGAATTTTATGTCCCAAGTGAAAAAAAATAAAAAAAGGTGGGTAAGTCAATGTTGCTCTGCTGTACAGTAGGTTACAAGTGGGTCACTGTATAATGGATGCTATTAAATTTGAATCCAATGATACAATATCATTGTATAAGAAAAACGATTCTGAGCGAAGACGGTATGTCAGTCTAGGTTTAAGACAAATTATATACATATCTATGGTATTAAAAAAAAAAATTGACCTATAATAAATTCCAAATTAATCATATCACATTATCACAATATCCATTAGGTACTTATAAAACAATATACATCAACATCAATAACAAACCCTGATACTATCATAGATATATATATATAATACACTATAGTACACTTTAGAAGTTTATGAATAATATTATATAATCACAACAAAATAACTAGGTTTTTTAATATGTAATTTCGTCCAAATTTGAACATAAAATTACTATAAAAATAAACTGTGATTGTATATTTTTTAGATTTTTCGGTAAGAGAATTACCTACTTACGTTTAATCTTGTTTTAAATTTTCAATCCTTAGCTATAAAAACTGAACATTTTATAATTTATTAATTACGATGATTAATAATTTTCGAGATTTTGAAAAATTCTGTCAAAATTTGATGTTTAAATGCTTATAAAAAAAATTGTGCCTATGTATTTTTAAAATTTTTCAACTGATATTGTAACAATATATCAGGAGCCTTGTATTGAATTTTTACACTTTTTTACCCAACAGATAAAACTTTATTGATATTCATAGAAAAAAAAACGAAAAATGAAACTATCCGTAAACAGCTCAAAAAGTGTCAAAATATTTTCAAAATTGTATGGTGTATAGGAAATGCTAATATAAAAATTCGGTGAAATTTTCATGTATCTATAGTTATTCGTTTATGAATAACAACAAAATAAGGAAATCGCAACATAAGAAATCGAGTGAGCATCCAATGTTGTAAAAATTTGAATTTCAAACGCTCATAAAAATTTAATTTGACTGTCCGGTAGAGATTTTTTTATTGATAAAGGTAGACAAACTTATGAGTAATATAATTATATTAGATTTTCAAATCTTAGATTTAAAAAGAAAAATTTTTACGAATTCTTAACTCAAAATAATTTGCTAATTTTCGTGATTTTTCCATATTTTGTCAATTTTTGAACTTTAAATGCTTATAAAAAAAAATTGTGACTAAGGATTTTTAATATTTTTCATCTGCTTTTGAAACAATATACTATTAGCCTTCTATTAAATTTTCGAGCTTTCGCAACCAACAAATAAAATTTTATTGATATTTTTAGAAAAAAAACTAAAAAAAAATGGAAAATGAAAATGTCCCTAAACAGTTCAAAATAAATCAAAATATTTTGAAAATGTTATTGTGTATAGAAAATGCAAATATAAACAACCAGTGAAAATTTCATGTATCTACGGTCATTTGTTTTAAAGTTACACCAAAAACCAAATTCAATTTTCTGAAAAATCGATTTTGCGTAAAAATTCCCGTTTTTCCTTAATTTTTCTTTTGTTTTTCTTTGCGCTTTTGAAAAGTACTGGGAATTTTAAATTTTGACCTCCCCAATGCACCAACGATATTCACTTTCCAATCGAACAAGATACTGAAGTCGAAAATCGAAGCATTATTTCGACTACTTATCGTGTACACAGACACAAAAATAAAAAAATAAAAACACACATCATTGTAAAATCAATACATTCATCGTTCCACTCAGAATCTAAAATGATGTATATTGTGTTGAACCAAATATTTGTGTTTGCTCATGTGAAGCAGGTATTCATGGACAATTTTGTAAACAACAATGCATAATTTATAAATATTTTAATAAAATTGGAGTTAATTTTCCTCCAGTAACCATAGAAGACAAATACTTTATAGCAAAACTGGCATTAGGTGAAAAAGTACCAAATAAGACATTTTATGAGGGCTTATTACCTACAGAAGTAATTCATGAACAGTCACTTGTATCGCATGACTTTCATCAAGATATTGATTATGGTGATGATGCAAATAAAAAGAGTTCAACAGAAAATCCCAAGTTAGAACAACGTAATTGTTTATCCATATTAGATAAAATTACTCAACAAATGTCTAATAAAATAATGAAATATGGCAAGTCAACTTATGAAAATTTATTAAAATTTAAAAAAAGACTTGATAAAATACATACAGAAGGGCAGTTTAATACTTTTTTAGCAACAACAGGTACATCATCATATTATCATCATTATACATTCCAGTATATAGCACAAACTATTTAAAAAACTCACCTATTTCTAGGGCTATGGCTCTATGCAATACACTTTCGACGAGAGTTGACTTTTTCTTCTCTCCCTTAAAGGAGATAATAAACGCTCACATGAACAATGTGAATACGTGATGCTGGGTTTGCCTTTCAAATTTAATACTATTTTCCCTTTTTAGATTTTTGTAAACTTAATATACCTATAAGATATTTGTTGCTTGTAATATTACTAATAGTGTATTTTTCTGAACTTTTATTCAAACTTTGCTCTGTACTATTGGGCCTCGGCCCGTTTTATTCTACTGAATAAACTATTATTATTATTATCTTTTAGACATAGAAATGGAGCGTCAATCAAAGTACAACCAACAACAATAGCTAGGAGAAGACCATGGGTTACTAGAGGAAGTAAACGTTTGCTTGCAGGTACAAATTTAGATATAAGATAAAAATACAACAATAACAACATTTTAACAATAGCATATTTTACTTTAGGTAGACCAGCAACAACTGATAGTAACCGTCCCAAAAAGAAGCCCAGAAATTTACAGCGTAACATTAGAAATTGTGTGACTAATTCAAAATCACATTAATTAAAGTATACCTACTAATAATATATTATGTATAAAAATTTCTTATGATAATATTAAAATATAATATGATCAAAAGATATAATATTATATACAATATGTTAAATAATTTCTATTCTAATTTTCATATTATATTCTTTTAAAAAAGGTATTTAATGAAAATATATATAATATATATTGTGTTAAATAAAAAGAAATAATTTTATATTATATTTTTTAAACAACATTTTAACCTTAAATTTAAGGTAGGTAACATTTGGTCATATTTAATGTACTTTTAATAATAATGTTTAAATAGTTTAACAATCAACGAGATTTATTCATTAAACTCAATATTAATTTTAGTACTATATTGCTATTACTGATGCCAAAATTATTATTATTGTAGATACAGTATCTACTTTAATCACAAATTTCACTTGAGCTTTGAAACTTGTGTTTTTAGACAGTCCACTTGCCTATACTGGATAAATCTACTAAATTTGAACTTTCCTTGGTTACTTCGTCATTTGATTCAATAATTAAATTGTTAAAAGAAGAAGGAAGATTACTAGAATTTAGTTTAAGATTCATTTTCACAAAAGTTCAAGAATAAAATAATATTGGACAACTCATAAGCATTAATTACAGAAAATTGAACTTAAAACACAACTTAGAAAACAAAACCTTTCTAATCCTATTAGAGAGTTGATGTGACTAAAAATAGAAATAATTTAATTGATAAAAAATGTTCTATTAATTTCGAACTAACTCTGTTATTATGTTAATAAGTAAAAGTAATAAATATTAAGTCACTTATATTACATGACATTCATCAAGATATTGATTATGTTGATGATGCAAATAAAAAGAGTTCAACAGAAAATACGAATTTAGAAAAACATAATTGTTTATTCATATTAATAGATGATATTACACAGCAATTGTCTAATAATAAAATAATATTATATATTATAATAGTGTAAATATATTATATAATACATGTAAAAATAAAAAATAATTTTATATTAAATAATTTATATTATTATTATATAATATAATATTATATTATTATTATATTTATATTTTAATTAATATTATTATAATTATTAAAAATGATAATTTGAATTTGGCGCTGAATTTGTGAGACCAATGAGAAGGCCGTATTTGCGTATGAGTTTTATTTGATGTGCGGAATGTTATGGAGCGCTTATGTCCTAAAGAGGCCGATAAACGAACACTTTTGTACACCAAAGCCATAGAAAATTGAAAATATATTACGATTTAAGGAATAAAATTCAAAATTTTTCATTGCATAATGACTTCTATGATCTAAATTATTTGTATGCATGCATTTAAATACTTTATTTTTACCAAATACAATTACTAATATTAATAAATATTGTCATTTTTAATTTTCCTATTATAAAAAAAATATATGAAAAATGTAAGAGCGTTAATTCACTAAATTATCATACATAAATACATAATGCTTTCAAAGTGTTACAATTAACAAATAATAACTATTAATTATTAATTAATATATTGATTTTAAATACAATTCATAATATGTTGATATTGAGTTTAATACTAGTATTCATATTACCTATGTGTTACCAAAATGCATATATTTAGAATACCTTTTTATAAGCATTTATTACTCAGCTGTGCCTATCACCATTGATTTTATAATATATTCATAGTATTTGTTGTGTATTGTTAATATGAATAATGACACAAACGTATATTATAGTCTTTTATTGTCAAAAGTATGAATCGTAATGGCGTACATTAAAATTGTCTACTTGCTAATGACCGATGGACAATCCCCGCCGATCGTAATATGATACTTATGATTATTATTAATATAAACGTTTAGTATACAATATAAATGCTGAATATGCAACAGTATTTATAGTATATTATAAAATCAATGCTATTACCTATATATTATTATATAATAACCGAGATCCTGGGGATAGAAGCATATCTATGCATGCTAAATGGTTGATAGATTTATATGCTCATCCTAGATCAGTGCTTATTTTCTTTAGACTAAGCGTTTTTGGAAAAAGTTTAAATACTTAAATTGTAATACTATTATTAATATTTTTCAAAAGTGGGTATATTAAAACATTAATTTACTATACATTTTAATAATTTATCTGTGTGAAATAGTAAATGTAATTTTAGTATATAGGTAGGTACCTACATAGGCGGCACTTGGGAATGATTATAGGGGGGGGGGCAAAAAATGAATTACAATAACCCAGAATTAAACCCAATTTTAACAAAATAAAATTTCAACCTTGATTTAATTTTTTATTGGAGTACATTTTTACCAATTTTGACTTCAGTAAAAAAGCTTTTTTGACTAAATTTACTAAAATAAAGTATAATTACCTTAAAATATAACCTAAAATATTAGGAGATATTTCAAACTAATAACTATTGTATTTTGGGGTATGAATATTTGATTATTTGAATAATAATTCACATTTTACATTAACTTATATCCATATATTTCGTAAAGAATTACTTAACAGCAAATTACAAAACAATATTCAAATTCAAAACTATTTACTTAAGTGCTAAACGTCGACCCTTTATTGAAGCTTCTACATCAAACCTATCAATAATTTTTTCAAAATCAATTTTATATTCGTTATGAATGTATAACACTACCAAATTACTTAAACGTTCTTGAGTCATAGTGACTCTTAAATATGTTTTCAGTCGACGTAGAGCAGAGAAACTACGCTCACAAGAAGCAGTATTGGTTGGTATAGTTAAAAATTTTTTCAAAATTTCTGTGTAAATTGGGAATTCCATCTGTATATCTTTTGATTTTACATAATTTATTCTTTTTATAATTGAATCACAGCCTTGGTTCATAAATAGCCTATTGAGTATTTTAATCTCACTTGACAAGTCTTCAGATTCTAATTTATAAGTCTTACAAACTTCATATATTGATTCACTTAAGGGGTTTGTATTAATTAATACATCAGACATAGAATTTAAAAGTGATAAATCATTTTATTTGAACTTGTTGTTCATGCACATTACAATGCTATCTAAAATACTGTAATACACATTAATTTTATAATGGTCTTGAACATTTTGTACAGACTGTTATTGGTTCCACCACCTAATTTTAATGGCCCAGACTTCAATCGAGGTAGCTTAGCTTCACGAAAACCATTACTTTTTGAAATATTTTCAACTCTTTCCCATACTTTTTGAAAATTGTCTTCTGTTCTTAAATCTTTAAAATTGATAATAGTTTCTTTGACCATTTTAATGACCAAACCATAGTTCAAAGATGGAGTTTGCAAGTATTTGGACAGAACATTGGTCTTGGTTAATCATCGTCCATTAGAATTTATTTTATTCAATTAACATGAGTTTATACTCTAAATTCTAATATTCTTCTTAATCAGCTTCAAATTTGAAATTCCAAAATCTATTTTCTTGTTTTACATCAGAAATTAAAATTAGAGAGGGAATATCATTAAGTATTTTAAATTAAATTCAACTTTTCGGCGTTCATCAAAAAAAGATTGAAATAACAGGTTTTTTTGGAGGGTGCAAAAGTATACATTTGCAACTGCCCCCTTATAACCCCCCCAAGTGCCGCCTATTGGTATCTAATTTAGAAAAAAACAATTAATAATTTTTATTAAGGGGGCCTAGACAGTTTTACATTAAATTACAGTAAATTATTTTGATTTGAGAATTCATAAAAATTTTGTTTTTAAATTTAAGATTTGAAAATATAATACAAGATAACTCATAAGTCAAGACGCACTCTCAAAAATAAATAATCTAACTAAAAGTCACTGGCAAGACTCGTGGGAGAAGACTCCAAACACAAATAAACTAAAAGAAATTAAACCATCAATCGACCCATGGAAAACTCCCCCATCCTCATCCAGACACGAAGAAGTAGTTACCACAAGAACCCGGATTGGACACTCCCGCCTAACACACCTGCACCTCATAACAAAAGAAGACAGCCCGACCTGCGAACTCTGTGACAAAGCGCTGACAATCAAACACATCACATTAGAATGCCCCAAGTTCACCAACTCCAGACAAATCCTCGGGAACCCATTAACAATGCAACAAGCACTTGGCGAAGATAACTCCAAAAACATATACAATTTTTTCAAAAACATAGGCTTAGCAAAATTAATTTAGAAAAATAATTGAATGTACATAATTTATCCTACAAATTCCCTCTATTGTTAAACATAATGTGTCCCCATAGCTTTAAGATCAATACTCTATGACTACTATTTTGTATTTTGTATTTACTACAGGCTAATAACCTCAGGAGTTGAAGCCTTATTCAAATAAAAAAAAAAAAAAAAAAAAAAAAACTCATAAGTTTGTATACCTTTTTCAACAAAAAAAATGTCTACAAGCAAATCAAATTAAATTATTCTGAGCGTTTGAAGTTCATATTTTTACAAGATTGGATATTCACTAGAAATCTCATGTAGCGATTTTGTTGAAAATGAAAAATGAACAACTGTAGATACTTGAACATTTTGACTCTTTTTGAGCCGTTTACGGACATTGACAGTTTTCAAGTTTTTTAGTTTTTTTTCCTATAAATATCAATAACATTTTATTACTTGGGTAAAAAATAGTGATAATTAAATACAAGGCTTCTGATATATTGTTAGTTGTTACAATAGCAGTTGAAAAATATTAAAAATACATTGGCACAGTTTTTTTTATAAGCATTTAAAGTTCGAATTTTTACAATGGTAAATAATGGTCAATAGAACAAGATGAACTTACTTTTATATAGACGGTTATTTTTAATTCGTTTATGGAACTATAATATTTGTAAACTTTAGATAAGTATAACAAATTAACAAATAGTAATCAAATTCAAATAATATTACCTATATATTAATATTGTTTTAGGTTAGTTAGGTACATTTTCAAGAAATAATAATAATATTTTTAAAGAGTGAAGCGGTAATTAAATTTGTATTATGAAAGTAAACATCTTTAATAATATTTTATATTAGGTTACATAAATAGATTCAACTGGCATCAGTAGTTGTGGCATCAGAATTCCAATGAGAACCTCTGGAGAAGTACCTATATATAGTAGGTATATAATATAGTTAACATGACCACAGAACAATATAGAATAGACACTCGATCAGTTAGGGTTTGTGTATCCCTGGGGTATGAAATATTGGACTCAAAAAATTGTACCGTAACCGTAAATCTAATAGGATCTTGGTAACCTATTGTTATGATATTAAAAAAAACGGAAACAATCCATTGACTACTGACGACGAAAGTTTTAATTTATTCAAAGTTTTTTATGCATGGTATTGTCAGTATTGTCACATTTTGCTATGAAATATGAATTAAATATTATAATATTGTTATTTGACATTTTTCAAATAATTTATAATATCGATATGAAATATTTAATTGATAACGTATACCGCGACCCACTACGGAGACCGGCTTCAAGGCCATAGTCACCCGATTTGGCCGTAACCATAGATATATATGTTACAGTTAAAACCAGAAATCCGTCGAAACTAGTTTTCAAAAATCCCTTCAGTCAATTCTGGTCTTAAGTCTTAACTAGTTAAAACTAGAATTCACCGCAGGTTCAAATAAGTCAGTACAAACTAGTTTTAACTATAAATGCATGACATTATGACAATACTGTATTCAAACTCGTACTACATAAAACGCACGCGGCCACAGACGATCTATAAATATTGCTCGATAATTCGACCGGTCGAATATTAAATCAATTAAGATAACTTTAACTAGTCGTCCAACGCTTAGATACGATAACTTCGACAGATTATACCTACAATAGTATTAATAATAATACAATATTTATCTATATAGGTCAGCTTATATCGTGTCAGCTTATATCGTGTCAGCTTAGCAGTGTTTCGCCAGTGCGATTGTGTTCGTTGTAGTCGTTGTACCTACCTGTTTTTGTCACGAATTGCCAGCTTATATTCTAAGTTCTTTTTTTTAGCTCTCGTTGACATTTGCCGGTTTTGAAAGTCGTCCTCAGGTCACTGTATACTTTGGTATCATGTCGGAAACTGAAAGAGAAATGAGTACCCGAGAACGGTTTCTTAAGAAGCTTATGGAATCGGTGGAAGGAAAAAAAGACAATTATTATAATATTACTAAAGATGCTTATGATTTGCTTCTCAAAGAGATCGAGGATGCGATATCAGCAACTAAAAAACCTCAGCTCAATATAGAAGGATCAAACAATTCAATGTTTTGGAATTTGGTGATACAAAAAAGCTGGTAACCCGCGGAGTGCCAGTCAAATATTATTTGCCGATGGAAGACATTTTTGATATCATTTATTTGTCACATATCGCCGTAGGGCATGGAGGGAGAGATCGTCTGAAGGTTGAAACTTCAATAAAGTACGCCAACATTACTACTGACATGATAAATATTTTTTTGTCTCTCTGTGAAACGTGCCAGAAAAAGAAAAAGCTAGGAAAGAAAGGACTCGTTTCGAAACCAATTTTGCACACTGAATTTAATAGTAGATGTCAAATGGATTCGATAGACATGCAGTCACAACCTGATGCACAGTTTAAGTTTATACTTAATTATCAGGATCATCTGATAAAATTCGTTCTGCTCCGCCCCTTGCAGACCAAGCGTGCAGAAGAAGTTGCAAGCCATGTATTCGACATTTTTTTAACATTTGGTGCTCCGGTTCTTCTTCATTCAGACAACGGGAGCGAATTTGTTAACAATTTGATTACAGAGCTGACGGATCTCAGACCAGAGTAAAGGTACGCACACATTGCTGCGGTAGACGGTACGGTAACGATACGGTAACGGTAGCGATAAAATTGAGCTCATAGTTTTATATGAGGCAAACCACATTGGTACGATATTATCGGATCGGTGAACGGTAGGCGCGCCGATAATCTTTGTGCGGTAAAGTTTAAAACTAAACGAATGTAATTACATGTAGATGCGCACATTGCTGCGATAAATCGCCGGTACGGTAAAAAATATCGTATCGTGCTCCGATATTTTTTAACGTTGCATGCACGATAATTACCGTCTACCGGGCTGATAAATATTAATAGCAATAATGTTTATCTATTTTGTAATAATTATGACATACTCGTACATAATATGAAGCTGTTTAGCTATTTAGCTGTACAACTATATTACCATTATGGCATTAAATGCTATATGTTATACGTACTACTTTAAGGTAATATAATTATATTATTAATATTTAAATTAAGTATTAAAAGTACAGTAGGTATATCATAATAATTAATATTAATAATAAGTTTTTTATCAAATATACTCCTATACTCCCATTCTGCAAATGTGGGCAAAAATTACCTTTAGTTAGTTAAGTTAAGTCAAGTCAGCATTTAGAAAGCTATAATTTAAGATTTAATAAACATTATACTTCGCTCTTAAAGGAGCACACAACACAAATAAAAATATTCTTTAAATTTTTTTTAAATGTTAAATTATTGTAGTTATGGTCATATGAAATGATTTTGTGAAGATACGATGTAAAAAAAAATATTACTTTAAGAGATATTAAGAGATGTAGAATAGCCGCGTGACGTCACTGGGCCGGAGTCATCGTAATTGCCTATCTTATACGTGTAAAAGTTCCTTGCTTCACACAACGATTTATCAACCTAAACATTTTCTTTTGAAAATTTAATTGACGTATAAATGTGTGGTTTTATGTGTTTAAGACGATGCAAGAATCAGAATTTCAATATGACGTTTAGTTTTTTAAGTATTAAAAATCTTAAAACAGACATTTTTGTTAAACGGCACGTCATGGCGAGCAGCGCGCGGCGGTCGGCGGACCCGTTGTTCGAACGCCACCCACCGCTTGCCATGACGTGCCGTTTAACAAAAATGTCTGTTTTAAGATTTTTAATATTTAAAAAACTAAACATCGTATTGCAATTCTGATACTTGCATCGTCTTAAACACATAAAACCACATATTTACATGTAAATTAAATTGCAAAAATAAAATGTTTAGGTTGATAAATCGTTGTGTGAAGAGAGGAACTTTTACACGTATAAGATAGGCGATTACGATGACTGAGGCCCAGTGACGTCACACGTCTTTTTTCAATTGCTCATAACTTATTGAATAATGTGAGTAGAAACGTAAAACCTATACCATTATCCTTAGAATTGAACATTCTTTCAAATAAAAAAAACTTATTTTTTGTGTTGTGTGCTCCTTTAAGTTTTATTATGTATACTTATATAGAATATAGATGCATTAGGTAATAGATATTTAAGTAATTCAATATAAAATATACCTTATAAATACAAGAAGTTAAAAGTACAAAATTATCACCGATCATATTATATCTAGTAAGAATCAACCATGAGTTTTTAAAGTTTATAACGACCAAGGGACATAAACTATATACCTATTACGACATTACGTCCTAGATTATCAACAAGTTAAAAAAAATGCTTAATTTCAAATGTATGAATGAGTGGTTGCTGGTTAAATACTATTCTATGGTTCTTTAAGGCCATTGGCCAACCCAACTTGTTATTGTTTGAGGCACATATTGTTTTACATTACCTGAGAGCTACAACTAGGCGTTCTTCTGGAGATATTGGTTCTCTAAAAGTAGTTAGCTGTTTCTCGATATCTTTGTATATAAAACTAAGCAATTGGTCAAAACATTCGCTATTCATGCGAAAATACAAATAGAAACGTTTAGGGTCTTTTCTGAGTTGGGGCATCAGTGTGTGATATTCACCGTACGTTTTTCGCTCTACATTTATTTGATGGACCCATAATCTTTTATCACCTATAGAACTGAATTATATTTAATTATTATAGTTATGTAACAAGTACCATCATTATACGAAATATCTTATTAAAATGACTTACGAAGTATCACCATTTTCCAATAAAGCTGTTAAAGCTAAAAATTCTTCATCTGAAGAACTGGAGTCTGAATACATCATAAATGTATATTTTATATTATATTTTAAAAATAATATATAACTTTGGCACAAGTGACAAGACGTATAATTACACAAGTGATGATTTGTGTTTAAGTTGTATCGCATACGAAGCCCAGAACTCCACTGTAGTACCTACTGCAGGGTTTCGTTACATTACTAAGAACCGGGTCAAAGATAAAGGTAATATATCGCCATGCAGATGTATATTTATGTAACCTTAATAGTCAATCGGCTAATATAAGTAGTGGGAATTAATCACTGAATCATAAATGATTATTTACCTAATATTGTGCTAAACGATTAGTAAGTATGTATTTAAATATTTTTAAAAAGTTTAGTTTGTTTTAAATACAATACAAAATAGCACTTTATCAAAATTGTAAGACAAACTAAAAATATTGACAGCAAAAATACAATTAATTTTCGGGGATTCTTACTTTGACATCTAATATTATTAATTTATTATAATTTTTTGATATAGAGTTTCTTTACAATTAATAATAAGAAAATTAAGACATTAGGTACCTACACATATATTAAGACTTGTATTATAGGCTCATTTACAGAGAAATTGTCGTCTTGTGGGAAGGGAAGGGCTTATAACAAAAATATTCATAATATTAATTTTACATAGCTGTCGGAAAAAAAATATTTTTGAAAATAAATTGGGAGGGTATAAACCTCAAAATTTCTATATGTGTGTCAGATATATCGTACCGCATTACCGCAGCAGTGTGTGCGGGTTGTAACGAAAAACGTTCCGGTACGATATTTTACCGTCCGGTAACTCATATCGTTACCGGATCAGTGTGCAAGCTCCGACGGTAAAGATTACCGCACAAATAAAATATTGATTACAGTATCGTTACCGTACCGTCTACCGCAGCAGTGTGTGCGCACCTTTAAAAATCGTGCACTGAAACCTTAGGCATGAGGACATGAGGTAATGAATATAATTGGATATCTTATTTTACTTTTTAAATGTTGCCTGAATAATATGTATAATTATGATGCATATGATCTTTAAATTTAAATGTCGTTCGATAAGTATAATTAATGTATAATTAAATATGATTTATATAATATATTATATCTATATCATTACAAATATTATACAAAAAGTTAGTGCACAAGAATTAAAAAAATGAGAAAAAACCCGACATCAAAACCTGTGCCGTTTCTTTATTTTTAATAAAAATAAAAAAAAAGAAATCGACAACAATAAAAATTTTTTATTGTTGTCGATTTCTGTTTTTTATTGGTTTTATTTGTTTAATTTTCCTAAAATGCCTTTATAAACTTCATTGTGCCCACATTTTTTAAATTGCACGATTTTTATAATATTAAAAATTCTTAGTTCCACCTTTGTTTACATGTTATAACTTTAAACTTATAATATTATATTGTTCACTTAAATGTATACTTAGTGTTATTTTACGAGTCACGACTTTTGGTTTCGATAAAGTACGATTGAGCATACTTAACCACACCATTGAGCATAGAATATTTTATGTGACAGTGAAGTTGACACATTCATGTTACTGAAATTTGGTAATTTATTATTTCCCCGTATTATAACAATAACACAAATCCTTATGATACCCAAACTTATTAACGAGTCACAAGCCGTGAACCGAGTCCAGCTTATTGATAATGCTATCAAAAAATAAATTAGCTCCGTAACAATAAATAATAGTTTTATACTTTTATCCATAACATATTGACAATTATTACCTATAGATACGACGTTTCAAACATATTTTTAGAATTTGGTATTATATAATTGTACATAATTCAAGGGTATAAAAATTAGATACTTCTCACCAATAGTTTATTTTTTTTTTTACAAAATAAAACTATTTCTACTTCATATATAATAATGTTAATGTTTAATAATGTAAGTATTACACAGTAATACTTAAAACTGTGTTTAAAATTATGCAAATTAAATTTACAAATTAACACATTTCATGTTGATTTTTAAATTGGAGGTCATCAGGTAATTACAGATGTGTTTGGAAATATTAAATTTGTTGGATATATATTTCATTTTGGACAATCGTGGAGTACAAAGGTAAGCTATAATAAATTCGTATATTATAAAGTATTGTTTAATATAGCCATATATTACATAATATGTGGTACTTTTTTATATAAAATATTATAATAAAATTTAATAATAAATAATAATATAAAAATTTGTTTGCTGATGAACCTATATGGACAAATTACTAAGGAAATGGTTGAAAATATTTATTTGGCTTGGCATTTATTTCCCAAGACGTGGTAGTTGATGCATTTCACAAATTAATACCTATCAATATATACTGTTTCAAGTTCTGTCGTAAAGAAATGAATAATTTAATAATGATTTTGTTCTAAGTTATACGCCAGTAAATTATTACAATTTAAAAATGCTTATAAGAAATTAAAATATTGTAGCAAATCTGACGTAGCAGAAACAGGTTATGTTGTTAACTTAAAGTTTGATAATAAGTGAATATTCACTCTTATACTCAAAGTTACAACATAAGGTTAGATCTGTAGAACATAAATTTGGTATGTTTCGAGTGGGTCCGATAAATTATATAAAAAAATAGAGCGCTGACATCATCTTAATTATTATGCCCTATATATGTGCTGGCAGTAAAAAATTGATAACATGTTTCGTAAATAATAATCAAAATAATACAATTAATTGAAGGCATCACCATGAAAGCTGTACCTATACTATATTGTTTGTATGGGCAATTATGTATAGTCATGTTGAGTGGTAAAAAAATATAACCGATACCAAATAGT